TGATTGTTGGCAACCACATGTTTGAGGTGACTGTATGTGACCGCCACTGCCCATTCTCGAGCAGCAGCAGCCTCCTGCGACCTCGATCTGCACCAGTGAAGACAACTGCATTGCTGTCCCATCAAGATGACCTGGACCGTCAAACGCTCGCTGTTTTTGACCTATGCGATTGGCCTCCTCTCGCTGGCTCTGCTTTTCACTCTCGTCTTATTTTTCAGCCACCAGGACTGGCTGCCGGGACGCAGTGAGCCTCGTGAAAACCCACTGGCCTACACCGTCAGCAGTCCCAAGGGAGAAACCAACCAGAGCAGCTCCCTGAGGAGCATGTGGATGGAGACGGGGTATGTACCACCAAAGCCTCTGCTCAACCTCAGCTCCCAGCAGGTGGAGGATGCAGCAGGAGAGGCAGCAGGAGGAATAGGAGGAGAAGCCAGGACTGGTGTAATGGGGCTGGGGGACTCCATGAGCACTAACAACAGTTTACAGAAAGAGATGGGTGTAGGAGGGAAGCTTAGCGCTCAACCCTACCGCTACATCCTGAACGAGCCCTTCAAGTGCAGGGACAGCACGCCCTTTCTCATCCTCCTTATTACTGCAGCACCAGGACAGGCTGATGCCCGCAACGCAATCCGCCAGACATGGGGAAATGAGAGTGTAGCAATGGGCTTGGGGTTCGTCCGTCTTTTTCTGCTGGGCAAAGGAAAGAGCTCAGACATCTTCCTTCAGAGCAGCATAGAGGAGGAGAGCCGTGTTTATCACGATATCATCCAACAGGACTATTGGGACACTTACAACAACCTGACTGTCAAAGTCCTGATGGGCTTGAACTGGGTGGCCACCTATTGCCCACATGCCTCCTATGTAATGAAGACAGACAGTGACATGTTTATCAATACAGAGCATCTCATCCAGAAGCTGCTGAAACCTGAGATGCCTCCAAAGCAGAGGTATTTCACTGGCTACGTGATGAAGGACTGTGCACCGATCCGAAACAAGGACAGCAAGTGGTATATGCCACCAGAGCTGTATCCAAGCGAGCGCTACCCGACATTCTGCTCAGGCACAGGGTACGTGTTCTCAGGGGACACGGCTGAGCTGATCTATCAGGCCTCACTCAGCATCCCCAAGCTTCACTTGGAGGACGTCTATGTGGGGATGTGCCTTGACAAGCTGGGCATTGTCCCAGTACACCCTCCCAATGGCATCCAATTCTACAATTATCGAGTGCCTTACTCCATTTGTACGTACAAACACCTGATCACATCCCATCAGTTCGATCCTAATGAAATCATCAAGTATTGGAACCACTTACAGAGTAACAAGCACAACACCTGTGGCCGCTAACCCACCTGGGGTGGAGAAAGAGAAAAAGATGAGTAATGGAAACAAGAATTATTTCAGAGTGTGTATCCGTGTGTGTTTTACCAGGGTTGGTTTATTGGGATTGTTCCAGGTTGAGCAGTCTGTAACAGTTTTGCAGAAATAATTTTCCGGTGGTGGGTGTCCAATGGATGTTACCCTTTTCCGTTCTGAAGGTGTCATGTGGGATCTCGATAAGGAAGGGAAAGGGTGTGGCCACAGTATTGCCAGGGGTGCATGGTGAACCTAAGCGGAGAGTGCACAGACACCTCAGAGACAGGTCCAGATATAAACAGATTTATTTAACCAAACAAAGGACTTAGAACCAGGGATAACTGAGGTGGGGGTCTGGGACGAACACTAAGGGCAAGGGTGGGCGGCGGAGAGTGGCCGTGGCGG